GAAGATGTGATATTCTGTGGGTTTATTATATTTATGAGGTGATAGTTGAAAACAGGAAAGTGGCATAGGAATCTGCAGCTGGGAGGAGGAGAGAAAAAAAACACATAAAAATATATTTTAAATATATGTTTTTCCTGGCTCTCAAAGTAAGGCAAATAGGTAGGTTTCTGCAGCTGGTAGGAGGATGTGCAAAAGGAACCTGTGGTTTATTTAGTTTTTTTAGGGAAATGTCTTTTAAAAATATTCCTGTGGACTGAGAAGCTCTGCCCACACTAGCAAGTCTCAGAGCTGCAAGTTTACCAGCAGTTCTGATCCACTAGTAAGTGTTGCATTTCATTCTGGGCTTTGGCAGCATTGTTCCCACTGGCTAATCCAACCCTGCTTAGGAAATAAAAACATCTGCACTGTGCAGCTGTAGCAGTGATGAATGGAAGTATAGGAAAGATAACAATCCTGAAAGAAATATTTCAAGGTGTCTTTCCAAAATAAATGCCAGGAAAAGAACCTTTCAGCCCAAACAGTTGGGTTTGGATCCTTCTGGCCTAATAATCAGCAGTGCAATTGCAACATGTTTCAGAACTGAAAGGTAAAGGGAAAAGAGATAAAGAAAGAAGAGCTCAAAAGCTCCGTGTCATGCCACGAATGCTGCAAAGTTAAGATATTGTTTGTTGGTGGAAGTGTTGTGCTTATTAACCTACATTCAACAGCTACTAGATGTGGCACTTAGTGCCATGGTCAAGTAACCACGGTAGGGTTGGACTTGATGATCTTGGCTGTCTTTTCCAACCCAACTGATTCTATGATTCTCTGATAATAGCTTTATTTTCCATCTTCCAGTGGCTGTGTTGTGGTAACCAAGATGATCTAATGAGCTATGAAGTGATGCTGCTGACATTACTATGTTAAGAAAAGGCACACAAGCCAACTTTTCCTCAAGCTTTTTAGCACACAGACCAGACCTAAAGAATACCTGAAAAGAAATGTCTTAAAAAGATATTTTATTTGCTTGCAAACGTTGTCTTCTTCCATTTCTTCGGATCATTAAAAAATGTTACAGCAGCATTTCTAACAGAATTTAGAAGAGAAAGTTAATAAATTAGTTAAGACCCAAATCCAGCCACTTTTCTGGAACCTGTGTGTAAATGCAACTGGCCACGTAGAAATACTTGGAACAATTCTTTTTTTACAACATTTCAATTTCAGATGAAGAAAGCTTTTAAAAAATGTCCTCTTCTATGTGTTTTTTTTAATATTTATGATGGAAACAAATATCAGAACATCAACTGATTTTACAATACTAACTGTGGTCTTACCAAAACCAGTTTTCTGTGATTTGGTCATGGCGTAACACAAATATGACCTTTTGTCAAGTCCTTAAACTTGGCACTCTCTCCTTCAAATTGGAGCCAAAAAGTTTCTGTATCAACTTCTTCTCAAGCCTCTCCACTACCCAGAGATCAGGTTGTTAAACCTTTCTCCCTCCCATGCATACACACAGTGGAAATTCTTTGGCCAGGCAAGTTTCCCAAGATTTCACAACTCTTGTATTCTCTCGGTTTAAAACCAAGCACAACACCACAGTGACATTTAATAAGACAGTAATTATATGCCAACAGATGGAATAAAACCAGCTTATTTTGCTCTAGCCAGAAGCTGGGTACTCTCCAGATGTGAGCTGACAAGCTTAGCAAATATCAGTGGTACCAGATTAGTGGTATTTTGCAGTGAAGAGAGAGGAATTAGAGAAAATGAGCTTGCACAGCTGATCTAGTATTTAAACCTTCACTCAGTAGCTCAGAAAAAGATTGCTTCAGTTCTGACTCTGTTCCTTTGCTTAGGGCTAAATTCAGAATCTTCAGACCCAGTTGATGTCTGGATGTTGTAAACAGGTTCTAGACTGTGACTGTCCTATATTGATTATTTTTTTTTTTGCATAGTCCCAGCTTACCTGGAATTAATTGGTTGGTTCATTTTAACAAAAGAATAAGTGCAATTGTCTTTGTGCTTCTTAGGGTGTTCTTTGGCCCAAAAGAGGTCAGAGGCACTTTGCTGTTGATTCCTGAAGGCTAAGCCTTCGTCCTGTCTGTTGTGAAGAACTTACTTGTTTCCTTTGGTTCACACAGTATAATATGTTCTGCATCACTGTGCAGTTTGTAGTACTGAATCTTTTGTCTAGTGGTATGTGTATATCAGCTGGAACATCTCCTCAAATGACCTTTTCAGAATTGGAATTGTGCCTCAATTATATTTGTGTATTGTCTCCACCTTGGGTTTTTTTGGCATCCTATACTATCCCTCTGTCATCTGGTATCAGTCTTTCTTTTCAAAATTTAATACCACTCACACAAAAGAAAATTCAGCAGGTGTTTTTGTGGAGTTGTATGGCCAAGTTCAGTGTATTTAATGGGCTTAATTAAAAGTCAGTCTCAGAAAGTCTTATTTTCCTATTCTACCACTCTGACCAGGTTTAAAACGCTCTTCGCAGGTATGGGATGAGAACTGTATATTACATCACAAGTCCAAATATGATAACATGAACAGGGAGAGGAGAAACTTGAATGGGACTATAGTTTCACAGCTGAGACAGGCAGATTTACAGATGTTTAGAGCAAAGATGTTAATATGGGCTCAAAAGTCTGTATGGCCTTGAGTAGGCATGTTTAATGAATGTTTATCCATCCAGAGTTTATATATTTAGCTCTTTTTTCCTCAGTGTTCTGCAGGAAAAGGAGATGTCATATGAATCTAGTACCAGGAATACTAGAAAGATTGTTTTCAAATCAATCATTGTCATGGGAAATGAGGTATTACATGTTGTTTTTCCTTTCACTTGGCAAATGTCCACACTGTTCAACCTGCCCATTTTGTGTAAATGTATGTTCATGAATATTCTTCTGAGAATTAATCAGTGCAATCACTTATCTGATCTCTTTGACAAAGCTAGACTCAGTTGCTTTAAGTTGTAGCCCTCAGTCAGGAGGTTTTTAGGAGTTTTATATCTGGTTCAAATATGAAGAGGCAAATTAAACTGTAAATGATTTCAACACATGTAATACAGCCTACCTGCAGTAGGAAAGATAGGAGGGCCCATCCCTCATTTTTTTTCCAGAATTTTGGGCAGGTTTGGGGCAGAATTATGAAATCAGGAAAGATCCACAACCATGAGCTCACTGTTGACAGAGCCACACTAAAGACATGACAGGAGAAAGGTGACATGTCTGTCCAATGACATCCTGATCAGGAAGTGTCAACAAATATATTTGTTTGTAATGAAGCACGTTAGCCTCTGTTGGCATCCTCCTACAGCAAGGGACGCTCGTTTACTGAAATGCTGTCGCAGGCTCATAATTTTGTAGGCCATGACCTATATTTGGTTTGCTCATATGCCAAGCTCTGGCATACAGCAGTGTGAGTGGGCATGCTGCCATGCTAACAGATGGCACTCTGTAAAGATGGTGCCAGGAGAGGAGCTTCAGTGGCCTGAGCCTTATGGAGATATTTCAGGCATTTTCATTCTCCATAGTTTGTTAACTAAGAATGAAGGGAGAAGCCATTTGTTAATTCATACGAGAAATGAGAACAGTTCATCAGATCCAAAACCATTTCCTCTGACTGAATAAAGTTCAGGGCTCTGATAAATTTAGATAAAACAAAGGGCAGTGGTGTGAGCCTGGCATGCTGACATTGAAACCTACAGCTCCAGAGGCAGGCTCTGGGGAGACCTCAAGCACAGCTCTGCAGTTTGGCTGTGATCTAGCCCACATTCTTTGCCAAACTCTGTGAGAATGAGCAGCTGGGACATGGGAGTTTGAACATCCTCTCTGTTTGAACAAGTCCCCTGGGAAAGCAAACTTTTTCCATTCCCCTTGAAAGTTCCCATCTCTCTAGTCAAAAGATACCTTAAACTTCCTGAAACACATGCAGTAACCGTAACCATGCCCTACTTTTTCTTCCTGCCATGCCATTCAGCCTCTGCCTTCTGCTTCTCTTCTAGGGACCGGATGAGAACGTCAGTCAATGTAGTGGGGGATTCTTTTGGTGCTGGCATTGTCTACCACCTTTCCAAGGCAGAACTCGACACCATTGATTCCCATCATAAAGGGCATGAAGACATTGAAATGACCAAGACTCAGTCAATCTATGACGACATGAAAAATCATAGGGAAAACAACTCAAACCAATGTGTTTTTGCAGCTCACAACTCAGTCATGGTAGATGAGTGCAAGGTACCTTTCACATTTATGGATATTGAGACATGTATATAGCACTGCATGCTTTATTTTATCTTATTTTTTAACCTGCATGTATTTTTCAAACCGTTCTGCAAATAACAATGTGACAACAAGGTCCATGAACCCCAGACATTTTGAATGTGTTTGAGCAGTTCAAAAGATGTTTTTTTGCACTCTTCTTAAAACTTGTCATTTGATGGGAAAAAATCATGTACATTGTTTACATATCAAAAGGCAAGATGCAGCGTATTATGGAATATGCCAAGATGCAGAGAATATGGCATCACCTTCTATGGACATTTACTTAATTTTCTATGGCAACAGAGAACTTAATTGCCAACCCAAATGAAGGATAGCTGCAATACAGATACAGGTGGTGTCACTTGCTGACTGCCTTCATGATATGCTGTTCAGAGATCGACATGTTGAATGCACTTTAGCATCTGAATGCTCCTGCACTCATACAGCGCATGCTTATGCTTCGCTTCCGTCATCGTTCCCGACTCATTAAGAGACAAACATTGTATTCTCTCTCTAATCCTTGCTGTAACTAACATGGAATATTAATAGCAATAATAACACCTTGATCAGAGCAAAGTGAGCTTGACAATGCCCACCAGTTGAATGAGAAAGCAGCTGGAGAGGTTGGTGGTTCAAAGTTGACTAAGAACACACTAGTAGGATGGGGCAGTTTAAAACCAGGAAAGAGCTTTTGAAGAAGAGGAGAAAGAGAGTGAAACAAGCTGGAATGTTTCATTTTATAGTCTTTTTATTTATATATTAATACTCCAATACTCTTTAAGACAGTGAGTTTGCCTGTCACCTTACCTTAGCTGTCTATCCAAACAGATTCTCTTGTCTCTTCCAGTTGCCATAACCAAGCCAGTGTCTAACTGTGAGTGACTACACTAAGTCCATTAGCAGATCACCAAATATATTGCAAATATAAGTTCTATTCTATCATTTTCAACTTTCTCTAGCCTGGCTGGAAATGTTCTTTAGAATTTTTTTTCTCCTAATGCTGAATTCCTGATAATGTAGGCCAAACATGAATTGCCAGGGGAAAAGTAATGCTGAATTCAGGGGGGAAAAACCCCAACTTTCATCTTATCTTCAAATTTTCCCTGAATCTTCCAAGATTTCAATAAATTGATTTTTTTTTAAATGGAAACATACATTTTATTCTGACATGGCTCTCACATTTCTCTCTGACCCACTTGGTTTTCCATGAGAAAAATTTAAAAAAAACCCAAACCATTGAAATGGAAAGTGCACAAATGATTATACAAAATTAAAAATTGTCATGAATTTATATTTGTCAAGATAAAAGGAAAGAGATGAGAGATTAAGAATTGAAGGAAAAAAGAAACTCACCGGAAAGAAAGACAGAATTGATAAAAGCTTTTTTTTCCATAAAAATAAGCATGTGCACTCGCACACGTTTTGGATTACTTTGGAATTTTGGGAAGACTGTTTTTCAGTTAAATAGACTATGCTAATTTACTAATTTAATTTGTGGGTTTAAGACAAATTCAGCCACGACCTATCAGTCTGAATCATGTTCATGGAACTGAATGCTGATAATTTTATCTGCTTCCTGTCTCAGATTTGCAGAGATCCAAGTCAAGCTAGAAATTAGTAGCCTGTTGATGCAATACTTGCTGCACTTTCTTCTCTCCTTCATTTTCTCTTAGTATTTCCCTCAGCTGAGGCAGTGGTTTACCTCAAAAGCATGGATTTATGGTGTGGTATATCATCCTCAGCACACCCGTTCATTGAAGCTTGGAACAAGTGCTTTATGAGCTGAAGGGTTTGTCCTTTTTGATTGTTTTAGGTTTCCTCTGCTTACAATCTCATTTTGTGCTTTGAAACTCATGAAAAGAGCCAGGCTTTACTGGGTTGAGCACAAGACTGACTTGGAGCAGGTCACTTTTCTTGTCCATGTGTCTGTCTGTGAGCTGCCAAAAGGATGTGTTGTTGTGACCCGACTGATAAGCTGTGAATATATGCTGACATTTGCAAAGCATTTGGGCCATGTTGAAGTGATCTGCAGCTCCCAAATGTTCAAACAGCAAAGGCAACAGAGTGCAGGATTTGGGGCTTGAAAACAGGCAGCTGTTAAATTTGAAGAGACATCTCTTCATCCTGTCAAATGCACTGGTGGGTTGAAAAGCTTACTGTAACTCTGGTCAGGATATGGAAAAGCTAATCTGCTAGCATGTCCTTTCTATTTACTTTCTGTAATATATTCCATGTATAACACTAGTAGTTTATAATTTTGCACGGTCAATGTACATAATTAATACGTAGTTTACCATGGGGGTAGAATGGTTGTTATTGCATGATCTTTTTGTATTTTTTTATTATCATGTTTCACATGACTCTTTGTGATTTTCATTCCTGAATCAGCTGTTCATTCCTATATTTGCATGTTTCCCCCTGTCAATTCTCTAAGAAAAAGCTTGACTTTGTTTCAAAAATCAGTGCATTTTGTCATGTTTCCATGTCCCAATGCTTCCATGCATCCAGTTTATCCAGCATGGGGAATTTCAGCTCTGTCTTTAAGTTTTCATTTGAAGCTGAGGATGTTAACTGACAAGGTAAGTTAGGAAAAAGTAAGCCATCCATTTAGAATTAAGTGACAGATTCTCTGACATTCTAAAGACCTAGATCACTTTTGTAAAGTTAAATTGACATTTTTCATTTTTAATTTTTATAAGTCATTTGGCTGGAGATACCTTTCTTGAAACATGGGTTTAGTTATAGTGATTTCTTCAGTGCAGGATACAACAGTGTTTGCTGTGAGTTGGTAGATCACTATGTCTTCTACCATTTCTCCATCAGAGAGAGCACAGTTGTGCTCTATGCTGTGAGACAAATACAGCATTGCTATCAATTTTTGATCTGACTCCAGTCAAAATCTTTCACTACGTTGTTAGAGTGGCATGATGAACAACACTTTAACAACATCTCTCTTCTTCCATTTCTTTAAAGATGGTGTAATTGTAGGTGAGTTGGTATAGACACACATCTATGATTATTCTGATCTTGCATATTGTTCATGCCCTTGCATCAGTTATGTAGCTTTGCTAGGGAATTCCACTGAAGAAATATGACTTTCTACATTAAAAAAAAGTAATTTGTTTTTGAAATAATCCAGAGAAATCTATAAGATATAGAAAGTGGTAGAATCTGTAATATTTCTTTCAAAAAAAAAAAAACAAGCAGTGAAGGCTAAGGCAATGTGGAATATTTTAAAAAAAAACCAGCACTGAAGGCTAAGGCAATGTGGAATATTTTTCTACTGATAATGTTTTCTAGTCAGTCTAATAATGGACAGGAGTCTCACTATTTGAGAGTGTTGTGAATTCTGAATAAATACCTTTTACTTATATAATAAGTCATGGTGTATGTAATTCCTGTAAATATAATGATCTTCCATATAAAACTCATGACTTTTCTTCTCCAGCACTGAAGGCTAAGGCAATGTGGAATATTTTTCTACTGATAATGTTTTCTAGTCAGTCTAATAATGGACAGGAGTCTCACTATTTGAGAGTGTTGTGAATTCTGAATAAATACCTTTTACTTATATAATAAGTCATGGTGTATGTAATTCCTGTAAATATAATGATCTTCCATATAAAACTCATGACTTTTCTTCTCAAAGTGCTTTGGCCTTTAAGTTGGTTGTTGATGATAATTACTTGCAGGTAACACTGGCAACCAATGGCAAATCTGCAGACTTCAGTGTTGTTGAAGAAGAGCCTTGGAAACGTGAAAAATAAGTGAAGAGGTTCCTAGCTGCATCTTTAATAAGCCCTGAAGCTTTCTTCTGGCAGAAGATACCACGATTAAAGAAGATTTCTCTTTTTTTTTATTATTTTTTTTTTAATTTAACATCTACAGTTTCTGCTTACTTAATTCCGTAACTGAAACTTAGCAAAGATCTCAGCAAGTCATTTTAGTGTCTTTGCCAAGCAATGATCCATAACCATCTGTCATCCTTGTGTTGCTGTTTGGATGATGCAGCTGGAAAAAGCTCCATGCAGTGCAATGTGCTCTCACCCATTTCCCCCTTTCATTCAAGACACAGAGAATGTAAATGCTGCAAAATGGGAAGATCAAAGTGCCAGTACAGTTCATTACAGGGACTCAGGGTCACAAATACAAGAGAAACGTAACACCACGTAAGCCTTCAAGTGTTTTGGTGACTCTTGTGGCATACCCGATCTGTTTATCGCTGTATGGCTCAAATACCTTTGGAAAACGTCCATAAAGATTTCTATTTGTTTTAATAATAACAAGCACTGTATTTTTGTGCCTAGTTGTACTTTAAACTGACCTTAGATCCAGGGGCAAAATTAACGTGTAGAAGTCAATAAATTATCCCAGGCATTTTGTTAGATCAGTACAACTAATGCTTAGCATCAAGGCAAGACCTTAGATTTGCATGTGGACGTGGTTTGTTTTTATCAGATGTCCCAGGGCAGGTGCAGCCTTTATTTTATGATGGGGCTGTTCTCCTTTGTGACCACAATGCATCACATAGTACAAGGCAGTATAATTACAGGAGTGGTAGTTCCTTCACTAAATTTATGCCCGATGTGCAAAATATAAAAAAACCATGGACTCAGTTATGCCATTCTTAATCAAGGGAGGTAGTACCTTACTATTCACCTTGTTCCACTGATGCCAGAAGGATTCCTCATGTGGATGGGACTACTAAGGTATGACTAAAATTGATTATGGATGTTATGATTGGGTCCTTGCTCATGAGCTGCAAACAATATTCTGAATCCATAATTCTCAGAGGGTTTTTGAACGTGATCATCAGTAGCATTTGCTATGAAGAGAAAGCCATCTTTCCAGTATGTCATGTTTCAGAGAATGGCTGAACCCTGAATTCATTGCTAAGCCAAATTCCATGTAAGGTTAGTAGAATTTGTCTAGGGTTAGGACTGAATGAAGACTAAACCAGAATTTCAGGATTTAGGCCAGGACATTGAATTTACAACTCTGTCTCTTTCGCAGAGTAATAAGTCACATAACTCCCTAATGTTAGAGAAAGGTTTCTTAGAGCACATGGCATCTGAATTAATGAGATGGTGTTTTGTCAACACATTATATCTGACTCATCCTGTCAGAAGAAATTACAGTCACAATAATCACCCTGTGAAGTGTTTTTAAAGGTGCTTGTTAATCCTCAGCAATTTTAAAGTACTGGTGAATGCCATTATACTATTAGCAATGTCCTATAGCAAAGCTGAGCCACATGGCCTTGGAAGGCTCTACTTACAGAACAAGCTTTGTGCAATTTTTGGGGGAGCTCTCAGAATGAATCCGAATATGAACATACAGTGAACTTAAAAGTGGCAGAAAACAGGGTTGAAACGTTCATGGAAATAGGCCATTCAGTGTCTGCTCAGACCTGTCATGGGTTTAAACAGAGATAATGTGTTTAACTGTAGAGTGATATTTGGCTCTGTAGAAGCTATTAAAATCTAAACGTAATCTGCTTTTGTTCATCTGCATTCACACAAATATCTCTGAAAATGTGCACGGACCTGAGCCAGCTACTTGCATGATTAATGATGTGCAAGATCAAGTCCATTGTCAGAGTATCCCTCATTTAAGCACGTGTTGTATTTTTGTCCTCACTTGAATGCCATGGCTACAATCCTAAGCAAAATGACCTATATAATTTAACAAATATTGAACCACTGTGAATTCTGTAGGCCTCTAACATGTCTTAGAGGTGGAGACCTTTTCCAGGGACCTCCTGAAGTATCTTAGGTGAAGGATGGAACTGTAGGTTATTCAGAGACATGACAGACAAGTTGTATTCTCTTTTCTTCAGTCATTGGTAATGGCATATCCAGAGTTAACCATTATCTAGCTGCTGCTTCTCCCAATTAGCATTCACTGGGTTATGTGCCAGAAATGTGCCTGGGATGGTGTGTAGGTACTGTAAAGTGTTCCCTACTCTGAGGGTGCTGGCTCACATCAAGTGAAATTTGCTGTGACTTGAGTGGTAGTTATATCCAAGAATAACAGGCAGTGTTTGCCCTGGTTTCTATCCAGCATTCTCGAGCTGTTTCATGGCACAGCTCACCCATTAATAGATGATTTTTCATCCTCTTCACCATAGCCCTTTCTTAGGAGCAGCCACACTGATTGCTTGCCTTGAAAGTAGCTTTAGAAAATTGGTCCATATACTTCTACCTGTCATTTGAAACTGTTTAGCAGTTGGAAACAAACAGGAATG